GCTCCTCTCCCCTTGTGTCTCTCTGTGTCTATATGTACCTGTGCTCCTCTCCCCTTGTGTCTCTCTGTGTCTACATGTACCTGTGCTCCTCTCCCCTTGTGTTTCAGCTGTGTCTATATGTACCTGTGCTCCTCTCCCCTTGTGTCTCTCTGTGTCTACATGTACCTGTGCTCCTCTCCCTTGTTGCTGGTCCATTGTATCGTCCAGTTCTGTCCATGTCTCTTCTGTTCCGTCCTGTCCCTGGTCCCTATGGAATTTTTGTTTTTTGTTTTCACTTTGGACATTTATTTTATTTTTTAAAACAAAACCATGTTTCTTTTTTTTCCGTTGGTAAATCTTGTTTTAAGACAGTCAAAAATGTGCTCAAATTAAAATACATTTTGACAAATTCTAGCAATTTTTTGACTTATTTTCCGTCTCTTTTTGCAGTGTAGCGTTCCGACCCTGGCCTGGTTTTATGAAGGAGCGGAAATGAGGAATGGGAAACTTCCTGCCCTGAGAACCACACTTAGCCCTAGGGTCGTGCAGTGTGACATCATTTCTCTGCAGGGTCTGAGGACAGCGCCGATGATCCAGGACAATTATAACCATTTATGGACCAATGGCTTTATGTTTTTTATTGTTATTTTTCTTCTTGTTGTACCAACTTTGAAAATTACGAGTTTTTAACATGGCTAGTTTCATTCGTTCATTGGCTCAGTTGGTAGAGCCTAATGGTTGCGGGTTCAATCCTCCCACGACTCCTGCTCCCTCTGATGTCTGCTGCTGTTGTGTCCCTGAGCAAGACATCTGACCCCACTTTGCCTGAAGCCCCCCCCAATCCCGGAAATGTATTAAAGAAGGGGAAGAAAACGACTTATGACACATGACAGTTTTTAATGCTCTCACTGAGAGCAGGGTCAGCATCCGTCCATACACCGAGGATTAGTGCCTCCATCTCCAGAGGTGAAAGGACACACGGCACTGGGGGCTTTCATCCAGGGCTTTACGAGCTCTCAACCTGCTTTTAATTCACATTTATATTAGGATTTGCTTCTGTGATTAACCTCAAGGATGGACAAGAGCGCAGCATTTTTCATCACCCGCCCACACTGAAAATGACGACGAAAAATAAGTCAAAAATTGCTTGAAATTTGGCTAAATCTATCTTAATTTTGGGCACATTCTGACAGCCTTGGGACAAAGCAAAATTATCTGGTTTTAAAATGACTTTGCCACTTTGGTGAATCTTGTTTTGAGACAGTCAGAATGTGTCAGATTAAGATTTTTTTTTAAAACACTTGATTCTAGCAGTTATTACTTCATATTTTATCATTTTTTGCAGTGCAGACCAACGGCAGGAGACCCGGCCAATCAGTGTCAAGAAACACTCTTTCTGAAGTAAATACAAGTTTTTCCCATGGTTTTCTCATTTAAATGGATTTGTTGTCAGATGTAGGTTCTTTTGGTTTTCTGTAAAGTCTTCACAAGGTTTTCCACACACTGTTGCTGGTATTTTGGCCCATTCCTCCATGATCCAGGATACTCGACATGCAACAACATTTATGGACATTGGCCTCTGCCCCTTATGGACCAACTACGAACTACTAAATACTATTTAAGATAACTACTGTTGTGATTTAGGGCGATACGAGAAGAAATCGATTCTGAGGAGATTCCAGAAAGATCAGCCAAACTACCTCAGCGGCGAATCTATTTACGACCTTTAACTCATGTCGGTATAAAGTGCTGTAGTGTCACCCGCCTTTTTGTGCCATATGACTTTATCAGCACATGATAAACTTAATAACATCCTGTTCATTGGCGCTGAATGGAGCTCTGTTTTCTGGAGCCGCTGGAAATGCCCCCGTTTCATTCGTTCATCGACTGAATGTGAGAACCTCTCTGCTGTCTGTTCTTTTCCTTTTCATATACGTATATACTTTTTTGTGCCTTTGTACAGTACATCTCATTGGGACCAAAGAAAATTTCAAGTATTAGACACTGGTTTTTTGTGTGTCTTTATCGATTGTGCCAAACAAGAAAAGTAACTTGAATAGAATTTGATAATAAAAGTCCTAATAAATAAATAAAAAGGGCCTAATTCACAGATATTGTTGTCAAACTCATCTACAGCCAGTGCCATACGGAGAAAATAAAAAGGAAACAATAATAATTATTACGAGCCACAAGGTGGTGGTGTCTAGGAGTGTGGCTCAATAACAAAATTAAAACCGGGTGTGGAACAGAGACGGGAGGCGGAGGTCCAAAAAGTAAAAGGTTTATTAAAAGAGGTGCAAAAGAACCACTGTTCAATCACAAAACAAAATGCTCCAAAAGAGGTGAGGTGCAGCGACAAGACCCACTGGGCCAACGGACGGTCGAAGTTGCAGAGAGAGAGTCAGCCTGGTCTCGATCCCGGCCCTTTATACCTCCCAGCAGATTACCCACAGGTGTGAGTGGGACGTCACTCAGCTGGAGGTGGGAGGGTCTGAGAGGTGGAGGCAAGGAGAAACAAAATACCAAAACCAAAAGGACTTTGTCCGTAACAATAATAAAATAATAAATAAAAACACAGCTGTCTTTTCATAATTTTTATTTTGTTTTGAGGGTTTTGGAGAAGCACTGGTCGGATTAGACACCGCAGCAAATGCGAGTTTGTCTGACTGTATATATTAACAGAAAGAGTCACGCCTATCTCCGCCGTTCTAACTAATGGGCCAATAATAGTGCTCTACTGGAGCTATCCAAGATGGCCAAAGTGGAACGGAGCTTTGGGCCAAGAGCCAACTTTTGGACCATCCTGTAAAGACGTTTTCGAGAGGTCTGCTAATGCTATATGTTAGCATTGGCTATTTCTTAATCCGGGTCCACCCCCACAGGCCGAGGGTGGTATTGCAGCATGTCAGCGCACGTTATTTTGTCCACTTTTGAGCCGGGACCCGCCCACACTGGTCTCACCTAGCTAACCACATGCTAACTGACATAAACAGTGTCATCGCTCAGCATAATGTACATGTAGTTTCTTTCTTTTTCATAATTATACTAGATGATCCTTTTACTTTTCTTGTCGTTATCGACTGCCTTTTTGAGTCGACGGCAGCTTGTGATGTTCTTCAATCTTGTTTTTGTTTTGTCTTTTATCGATTTATTCTCCCTCTGTGCTGTAAAAGTTTGTCCACACTTGATGTAAAACCCAAAAAAAAAATGTGCTAAAATGATCTATTATTCTTACAATGTGAAGCAGTTGATTTCCACCAGAGCAGAGCAAGTGCTGGTTACCATAGCAACAGTTAGCAGTTAGCATTTAGCATTAAAACGGTTTTTGCTGTATTTCAGTTATATATTCACCAGTTTTAGCACTGATTTAACGTGAGTAAAGGTAAAAACAACCATATATATGAATAAACAACCATATACATTACATTTTAGTGTTAAAGAGGACTGTTTTGATCCTGGCCTTGAATAAAATGTATGATTGTTTCTGTACACTGCGTTCTCTTCAACCTTTTTTCTGAGAGCACTTCTTCTTCCTCCCACTTCCTCGTACAATTATCTATTTCTCCATTTCTGAATAAGACATTTTGCTTGCTCCAGTTAAACCTGTGAAAACATTCTTATTTTCCACCTGGATTTGTGAACATTAATGAGACGACTGAAGCGGAAAAAGCCTGAGGAAAACATCGCACGCTCTGATTATTTTGTATTTTCCCAATAGCCTTTTACAAAGCTGCGTGTGTCTTATAAGGACAACTGTCTCAGCCCAAAGAAATCTGGACATTTGAATCTCCTTTTTTATGTAAATTTGGAATTCCTAAATCTGAAGGATGGACCGCTCAAACATTCTACAAACAGGGAGGTCAAGTTGGCAACTTAAAAACCTAAAATTCTAATATTTTATGGGTGAAATCTTGGATATGCTTTCATTTATCTAAGCAAAATATAAAATAAAAATAAAAACACTAAATTAGATTCTTCCAAAACCCAAAAACCTCCAAAAAGTAAGCTGGTTGGATGTTTTTAAGTATCAAATACATCAAAAAAGTAAAAAATTCACTGTGTGTGTATGAAATATGTTTGTATAGTGTTTCTGTATTGTTGCCAGATCAGCTCACACCTCTGAAGTAAAGCAGGGCAGGGCCAGGTTAGTACTATGATGGGAGACCTCTGGGAACAGCAGGTGCCACAGTGGGGCGGCTGTGGCTGTAAAGTGCCAAACTGTCGCTGTGTGTGTGAATGGCTGATGGCACAGACTGGTTGCCTCTCTTCTGTCAGAGTGCCCCAGGACAGATGTGGCTACAATAGTATTTCATCACCATTGTGTATGGAGTGAATGAATAATAAAATGTGCAACGTCTTGTCCAAAAGAGCACTGTTTGAATCCAATGCTTTCACTACAAAAAAATGGTAAAATAGGAGGAAATATGGAACAAAGCCCTAGTCCTTTTTTCAAGAACTGTTGCTTTCGTTTCTCATTCCAAGGAAGACAGTTATTGTACATTTTAAAACAAGATAATTTTGCTTTTGTCCCGTTGACAGTCAGAATGTGCACAAATTCAGAAACATTTTGCTAAATTTGAGCATTTTTTGACCTAGTTTTCACCACGTTTTGCATTGTTGTCATTAAAACACATTTCCCAGTCGTGGATACATACATGTAACTGCCCCAACCATCGCAGCCTCTTCCTGGTCTATGGTCTTGGCTCTATGGTCTTGGCTCTATGGTCTTGGCTCTATGGTCTTGGCCCTATGGTCTTGGCCCTATGGTCTTGGCCCTATGGTCTTGGCCCTATGGTCTTGGCCCTATGGTCTTGGCCCTATGGTCTTGGCCCTATGGTCTTGGCTCTATGGTCTTGGCTCTATGGTCTTGGCCCTATGGTCTTGGCCCTATGGTCTTGGCTCTATGGTCTTGGCCCTATGGTCTTGGCTCTATGGTCTTGGCCCTATGGTCTTGGCCCTATGGTCTTGGCCCTATGGTCTTGGCTCTATAGTTTCGGCTGTGGTTGTGATCCGCGGTGCAGATGGAGACGCCGGCGGTGCGTCTTGTGTTTCGAGCCTTATTCCATATTAATAGATCCATGTGTTGCTCTGTCAGTCCCCACATGCAGGCTTTGTACTCCACAATGAGGGGACCAGCTCACAAATGACTGGCCGGGACCTCGCAGGTAAACTGAATTATCTGGTAACTCGAGCGCAGGCGGAGGATGTAGGGAGTGTGGATGAGATTATGTTTTGAGCCGAACTGAAAACATGAGAGGGAGAAGCCAGAGAACACATCTGATTATGGGCTCGTTATAGGCAAGTCCGTTCGCCCTCATTCAGGCTTGGTAATAATTCATTCATCCACCCAATGCTCAAAGCACCAGTCCCTCGCTGACCCTCTGCAGGGGGTGAGTCCACAGGAAGATGGCTGCTATAATGTTCAATGAATGATAATAGTTACTTCCGGGTTTACCGCGATTGCGTTTTGTCAAATTAAAACAGTATTGAAGTCTGGGGCAACTCCGACAACACTAATCTAATACCTTTAGTCATTCTACACTTCCAGCTTTACGAATAACACACACACTGCTCCGAGAGAACACACAACTGAACTATTGTTGAAGTCAGGACTGTTAAAAATGAAAGCTTTAAATGTATTACAGACATTATTGATTATTTTCAGAGCACGACATCATCTATTGCCCTGTGGCCTTCAAATGTTCTTCTCAGTAAACAATGAAATCTGGAGAAGGAATCTGGATTTTAAAATGCCTTTTGCAAGAACAACACTCAAACAAATGTCCATCTCATGTGCTGGTGTAAAACTATGGAACTCTGTGGACAATGAACTGAAAACATGTTCAAATATATTACAATTTAAGTTTAAATGTAAACAAAAACTGATTCAATCCTAGAGTATGTAAAATGAATCGAGAAATATTATTGTATTTGTATTAGTTGTATTTGTTGTGTTTTGACACGTGTGCGGCACGGTGGCTTCTCAGCAAGAAGGTCCTGGATTCGAATCCCGGTCAGAACAGGGCCTTTATGAGTGGAGTTTGCATGTTCTCCCCGTGTCTGCGTAGGTTTCCTCCGGGTGCTCCGGTTTCCCCTACCACTAAAAACATGCACAATAGGTCTGAATGTAAATGAGAGAGTGAATGGATGGTGTTGATTGGAGCTGATGGTCCAGTGTGTTCTGGACTCGCTTCTGTCATCTCCGTGTGTGGAAGGATTGGAACAATATCCGAACTCTGAACATTGTAAAGTGCTTTGGGTGACCTTGGTCTGTGAAATGCGCTTTATAAATAAACATTACTTAGTTGCGAAGCCATCTATAAATGAATGAATGAATGGATGTACCTCTCTCTTTTTATCACTTGAAGCCACAGAAGACCACAGCTGTAGACTCGAGACGCCTGACCTCTAAAGTCCCGTATAGAGCTGTGGTGTGTGGAGTCTGCGGGGCACGTATGGACAGGCTCGGGCCTCACATGGGGGCCTCACATGGGGGCCACACATGGGGGCCACACATGGGGGCCTCACATGGGGGCCTCACATGGGGGCCTCACATGGGGGCCGTTTCCAGTGTAAACACCAGTGGAGGTCCTAGAGGCTAAAGTGTGACACAGAAACGTCTGAACTCTATGGCGCTGTGGGACGTATGTAGCTCCAGGCGTTTCACACTCTCTGGTCTAATGGACGTTCAGGACAGAGCAGAGTTCAGCATTATGGATGGATGGATTTATGTTCATATGTTAATACAAAGTTAAACACTGTATAAACATAACTGTGCAGGAGAGAGAGAGATAGAGAGAGAAGACCCAATAGACCAAAGAGAAACATCATTCAAACTGCATCAGCGGGCAAATAATTACATAAAACACATTATTTTTCCATTCAACTTGTGCGTTACAATTTCAATTTCAACTCTTTGGAATCTTTCTTCTGACAATAAAATGCTGCTCGGACATGTCAGGTATGTTGCTCCTCACGTAATGTTGTTGTAAGAATTGCTATGAACGCGGTATTTAGATGTTTGGGGAGAGAGACCAGAGAGAGACAAGAGAGAGACAAGAGAGAGACCAGAGAGAGACCAGAGAGAGACCAGAGAGAGACAAGAGAGAGACCAGAGAGAGACCAGAGAGACCAGAGAGAGACCAGAGAGAGACCAGAGAGAGACCAGAGAGAGACAAAAGAGAGACAAGAGAGAGACAAGAGAGAGACCAGAGAGAGACCAGAGAGAGACCAGAGAGAGACCAGAGAGAGACCAGAGAGAGACCAGAGAGAGACACAAAGAGAGACAAGAGAGAGACAAGAGAGAGACCAGAGAGAGACAAGAGAGAGACAAGAGAGAGACCAGAGAGAGACCAGAGAGAGACAAGAGAGAGACAAGAGAGAGACCAGAGAGAGACAAAAGAGAGACAAGAGAGAGACAAGAGAGAGACCAGAGAGAGACCAGAGAGAGACAAGAGAGAGACAAGAGAGAGACCAGAAAGAGACCAGAGAGAGACCAGAGAGAGACCAGAGAGAGACAAGAGAGAGACCAGAGAGAGACCAGAGAGAGACCAGAGAGAGACCAGAGAGAGACCAGAGAGAGACCAGAGAGAGACCAGAGAGAGACAAGAGAGAGACAAGAGAGAGACCAGAGAGAGACAAGAGAGAGACAAGAGAGAGACCAGATAGAGACCAGAGAGAGACCAGAGAGAGACCAGAGAGAGACCAGAGAGAGGGAACAGGGAGAAAGAGACAAGAGAAAGACTAGATAAATAGACTACTAGAGAGAGACCAGAGAGAGACCAGAGAGAGACCAGAGAGAGACCAGAGAGAGACCAGAGAGAAACAAGTAACACTTCATGGAATATGTTTTTGCAGTAGTTTGCTTTCCAGACACTGATGACCAATGATTCAACTAAAATCAACTAAAACACAGACAGATTTACACAGGAATTCTCTACCAATGGCTTTCATAATTTCAGTTTTTGTTTTCAGTTTTTGATCAACAATAACTCCCAAAATCTAGGTTTGTGCGATGAGTAATGGTGACATCACAACGCTGACATCGTATAAACATCTGACTTTGAAATGTGCTTTTCTGCAAATGTGTTACTCCTGCTTTTATTTTTAGTCCATGACCTTCTGTTGTGGGGTGTGGTGCAACGAGAGGCTGGGAGTGTGTGGCGTCATATACAGTCCATTGGAAGCTGGACTATATAACTTTTTCTTTTGTTTCATACATATTTGTCATAAAAAAACATGTTATTGTTTACGTGCGGTCTCTCTCCTTTGTGTAGAGCAGGGGTGCTCACGCTTTTTCAGCATGCGAGCTACTTATAAAATTATCAAGTCAAAATGATCTACCTACAAAAATGTAAAACATATATTTATTTAAAAAAATATTGAGGATTCTTATATCTACAATGTATGTTTATGTACATGCAAAACCGCATGAGCCAATATTAACAATAACACAATTAACTATGTACATTTTACTCTGATGACTTGCTCTGAATTGAATCAGCCAGGGACGCATAGTCCGGAAAATAGTGGGTCTCGCACTACCCACAATTCTGCAGTTTGCCATTTTGGGAGTCTAGCCGTCACTAGTTGTAGCTAACCAAGTGATTTGCGGCCTGTGATATCAACTGCTTCGTTCAAAATAAATTATTAATTGAAAGAAATATTGCATCACATACATCATGAGCTTTTTTTAATTGTAAAACTGTTAAGTGAAAGTAAGCCATTTCAGGCAAAGTCCACTGGTCTGGGCGCGTTTCATATGGATCCAAATCTCCCGATTCTCAAAGGATCTTAGGATTACTCCAGTGTATCAATATACTTAACGCGGTCAGTGTCGGCCGAATTCGTGGCTTAAGATGACATGGGGACAGATGATCCGTGACAATTTATCAGTGACAAATTATACGTGTAATATATGCTTGACTCCCAAAATGCCGTTCGCGCAGAGCATTATGGGTAATAAGCACGTGATGGAAAACTATGAAAACCAATAGGCAGAGTCACTCCCGTATTCGTCCGGAAGTTCAGTTTGATCCAATGATCATATGCAGCAGTAGATTACGTCACGGAATCTGGACGGAAGCGGAAGTAAATATAAAAAACTACCTATTCATGCCTAAACCTAACCAGCCATTCCCATAAAATAACCCCAACCCAGCCTTAACCCTAAACTTAACCATCTTAATCAGACGCCTAAACTTAACCAGTCAACATTTAAGGACTTCTTACACTTTTTGACATGCGCAAACTGAACTTCCGGACGAATCCGGTTTCCGGAACAAATACGGGAGTGACAGGCAGATCCATGGCAGTAACTGACAAGTTTGTTATGGTTTAGCTTTGCTGCACTGAGTGCGGTAGTTTGCGCATGCGCGTTTACCTAAGTGTCAGTAAAACGTAGAAGTTATTTGACTGTGGTGCCATGTCCGTGTGCCATGCCTGGTATTTTTAAAATCGAATATTTCCCCTCCTCCGTTTATAAAATAATTAGCATCCACACATAACCACACATCTGCGTTATCAATCACATTCGTAACATCCCAAACATGTGCGTCTCTTTACGTCCTGTCCTGCGTTGAGGGAAAAACACAGAAGTGGGCGGAGCTTTGATGCAGACGCCGGTTACGGCACTTTTACAGTCATAGAAGACACTCAGGGTAAGGCAAGGCAAGGCAAGGAAAGTTTATTTGTATAGCACAATTCATACACAAGGCAACTCAAAGTGCTGAACAAGATAGCATTAAAATCATAAATAATCACAGAACATCAAAAAGAAAGATAAAATTAAAGCCGCAAGCGGCGTCGAACGGCCCTCGCCGCACCACGCGACTCCCCGCACCGCGCGCACCCCCCCGTTCCACGCCGCCCTGCACCAAGCCACCCCGCACCAGGCCACCCCGCACCAAGCCACCCCGCACCACGCCGTCCCGCCTCACGTCGCCCCGCACCAAGCCGCAACGCACCGCTCCACAACGCCCCGCACTACGCCGCACCACACCGTACCACGCAGCACCGCGCATAGGAGGTGGCGCCGCCGTGTGAGGATTGGTTCCCGTAGCCATAGAAGAACTTAGTCAAATTGTAATGAATATGATAAGTAGAGCTGGTTTGGCTCCCCATGTAAACTTTGACTCAGTCTTTAGGGGGCGCTAATGGGCCAATTTCAAATATTTCACTTTCACCTGACCTAAACCCTGGAGTTGAACAATGGATTCAAGTTTAATGCAAATCAGTCTTTGTTTGTGCAAACGGGAAAAAAATGTATGTTGTCAAAAACGGCCAAAAAAAGGTCACATTTTGCCGCTCCGCTGCTCGAACAATGTTTCACTGATCAAAAATCCCTGAGGTCATTTTGAAGGTACATGTGTTGAGATGATGTGGAGCGATTTTGAGGCCAATCGGTGAAACGGCCGAGGAGGAGTCGCTTTCCAACCGACATGTATGAAAATGATTAGTTTTAATTTTTCCATTTTGCAATGAAATTTATGGGCTTCCTGTTTGTCAGAAGGATTAGCCACAATAAAAAAATTTCCATGTCTTGACTTGAGGAATATGTGTACCAAATTACATGGTTCTACGACAATTTTGACCTCGAACCCATCCCATAGGCATTTTTAAATTGGCTGTTGTAGGTGGCGCTATAGAGCCAATTTCAAAATTTAAACTTTCAGATGACCTAAATCCAAGAGTTGAACCATGGATTCAAGTTTTGAGCCAATCACACTTTGTTTGTGCAAACGGAAGCAATTTTTCTATTGTCAAAAACTGAGAAAAAATACGCCACTTTTTGGCGCTCCGCTGCTCAAACAACGTTTCACTGATCAAAATTCCCTGAAGTCATTTTGATGGTACATGTGTTGAGATGATGTTGAGCGATTTTGAGGCGAATCGGTGATACGGCCGAGGCTGGTTTGATGTTTGTGTGAGGTGTACATTTGCAATGAATGGGGAGCGTTTCTCGTCGCCACGGCAACAGGGTAAAAAATAAGCCTTGGACCCAATCGACTTTTTGAATCAAGAGGGCAAAACAGATGTATGTGCAAAATTTCAAACATTTTGAAAAAACTAAATTTGAAAATGCCCATTTAAAACTTTGAAATAGTCTGTAGGGGGCGCTAATGTGTCAATTTGAATCATTTAACTTTCAAATGACCTAGACCCTAGAGTTGAACAATGTATTAAAGTTTTGTGAAAATCAGACTTTGTTTGTGCATACGGGAGCAAATTTAATGTTGTCAAAAACGGCCAAAAAAAGGTCACATTTTGCCGCTCCGCTGCTCGAACAATGTTTCACTGATCAAAAATCCCTGAGGTCATTTTGAAGGTACATGTGTTGAGATGATGTGGAGCGATTTTGAGGCGAATCGGTGAAACGGCCGAGGAGGAGTCGCTTTCCAACCGACATGTATGAAAACTTTTGCTGTTCATTTTTCCATTTTGCAGTGAAATTTATGGGCTTCCTGTTTGTCAGAGGGCGGGGCCATAATAATATTTTTTTCTTGTCTTGACTTGACAAACATGTGTACCAAATTTCATGACTCTATGACAAACTTGATCTCCAAAACTCCCATAGGGGTATTATTTTGGCTGTTGTAGGTGGCGCTGTTCCGTCATTTTTTGAGTCCCATAAAAATAAACACCAAAATATCAAATTTTTCGCCAGGTCTGATTTTTGGGCCAAAATTAACAACTTTTCATGCATGTTCAGGGGGTCAAATTAAGGCTCAAAGTGCAGAAGAAAAAAGAAAGAAAGAAAGAAAGAAAAAAAGAATAAATTAAAGCCGCAAGCGGCGTCGAACGGCCCTCGCCGCACCGCGCGACTCCCTGGACCGCGCGCACTCCCCGCACCACGCCGCCCCGCACCAAGCCGCCCCGCACCAAGCCGCCCTGCACCAAGCCGCCCTGCACCATGCCGTCCCGCACCACGCCGCCCCGCACCAAGCCGCAATGCGCCGCTCCACACCGTACCACGCAGCACCGCTAAAAGGAGGTGGCACCGCCGTGTGATGATTTGTTTCCGTAGCCATAGAAGAACTTAGTCAAATTGTAATGAATATGATAAGTAGAGCTGGTTTGGCTCCCCATGTAAACTTTGACACAGTCTGTAGGGGGCGCTAATGGGCCAATTTCCAATATTTCACTTTAACCTGACCTAAACCCTGGAATTGAACAATGGATGAAAGTTTTGTGCAAATCAGACTTTGTTTGTGCAAACAGGAGCAAAATTAATGTTGTCAAAAAGAGCCAAAAAAACCCTTACATTTTGCCGCTCCGCTGCTCAAACAGCGTTTCACGGATCAAAATTCCCTGAAGTCATTTTGAAGGTCCATGTGTTGAGATGATGTGGAGCGATTTTGAGGCGAATCGGTGAAACAGCCGAGGCTGGTTTGATGTTTGTGTGAGGTGTACATTTGCAATGAATGGGGAGCGTTTCTCGTCGCCACGGCAACAGGGTAAAAAATAAGCCTTGGACCCTATTGACTTTTTGAATCAAGAGGGAAAAACGGATTCATGTGCAAAATTTCAAACATTTTGAAAAAACTAAATTTGAAAATGCCCATCTAAAACTTTGAAATAGTCTGTAGGGGGCGCTAATGTGTCAATTTGAATTAATTCACCTTCAAACGACTTAGACCGTAGAGTTGAACAATGTATTAAAGTTTTGTGCAAATCAGACTTTGTTTGTGCAAACGGGAGCAAATTTAATGTTGTCAAAAACGGCCAAAATAAGGTCACATTTTTCCGCTCCACTGCTCGAACAATGTTTCACTGATCAAAAATCCCTGAGGTCATTTTGAAGGTACATGTGTTGAGATGATGTGGAGCGATTTTGAGGCGAATCGGTGAAACGGCCGAGGAGGAGTCGCTTTCCAAGCGACATGTAATGAAAATGATTGGTTTTCATGTTTCCATTTTGCAATGAAATTTATGAGCTTCCTGTTTGTCAGAGGGCTTAGCCATAATTACATTTTTTTCCATGTCTTGACTTGAGGAACATGTGTACCAAATTACATGGTTCTACGGCAATTTTGACCTTGAACTCCTCCCATAGGCATTTTTAAATTGGCTGTTGTAGGTGGCGCTATAGAGCCAATTTCAAAATTTGAACTTTCAATTGACCTAGACTCAAGAGTTGAACCATGGATTCAAGTTTTGTGCCAATCACACTTTGTTTGTGCAAACGGAAAAAAATATTCTATTGTCAAAAACTGAAAAAAAAATACGCCACTTTTTGGCGCTCTGCTGCTCAAACAACGTTTCACTGATCAAAATTCCCTGAAGTCATTTTGATGGAACATATG